TAATAATAATAATAATAATTATAATAATAATAATAATTATAATAATAAAAAGCATCTGGAACCAGCTCAGAAGATTTCTAATGCTTTTCAGCTTGACTGACTTGGAGTGCATTGACCACACCATTTATATTTTCTTCAGGTACCTGCAAGGAAACAAAAAAGAAAGGTCATGCTCTAGCAAAAGCCAGGCAGGGACAACAAGGAAAGAAAAGGCAGGAGACAAAGCCAGACAGTCCCAAGGAGCCAGGCACTTTGCAGCTGGACACCTGATCACCACTGAGAAAGGACTCCAGCCACAAGAGACACCGTCCGCTTCAAAAGCGTTAACTCCTGGCATGGCTAGGAGCAAACACGGGAGGTGGGATCTGGCTGGTTTGGTATAGTGGGTGCTGGGGGGGAGGCAACTGTTTTGGGGTTTTCCTTTCCTTCTCCTCTTCCTCTCCCCTCCTTGCCTCTCTTTTTGTTGGTAAAGCACTTGTACACCAGGAGCTCACTCACGCCAGGTGTCCGTGCTGATGGATTTATGTGGCTGCCTAAAGGCTCCATAAGGCTCTTCAGGGTGTCCTACTACAGGTCTGGGACTTGTAGGTGTGGGTGCGGAGACCATGCTGGGTGACAGGGGAACATGTCCATCAAAAGAAGAAGAGAACTGCCAGTCTGCTTGTGCTGGGGGGTCCCAGATGGTGCAGCATAGCACCTGAGTTTTCTTATCCAGTCTTGTGATGAGACTTAACCACAGAAGTCCATATACAAAATTATTAGTGGGTGTCTTTTCACACTTACTGCAAGAAAAAACTCTTGTAACAGAAGATGCAGAAGATCTCAGAGTGACTGTCATCGTTAGGAAAGAATATCACAAGTCAAGTTACATCAGACAGAAAGGAGGCATCTGACCATTACATAAACTCAAAGACGACACTCAGGGGACAGGCAGCTAACAGCTCTTGGAAAGTAGAAAGGGGACTGAGGGAAAAATAAATTATCTGTGAGACGCTGCAAGAAGCCAAAATATTTCACATTAAGTAAGTTGAAGAAGGGACTGTCTCCTCTGTGAGGTATTTGAGTCCTTGGCCAGGAGTATAATACCTGGATTCACTGGACACCCTCCCGAGCTCAGACAGTGGAAATACAACTGGACTGTGATTTTCTGCAAGGCTTTTAAGAAAACTGAGGAAAAAAACCCATGAGAAATAACAAGAAAAATGTTCGACTTTCCAATGGGAAGATGGAATAGGAGTGGCTAACTCTGATGATGTGTGAATAAAAGTCAGCTGGGAAAGGAAGAAAATAATCTTAAACCAGCAAATTCTTCTGAGTTGGGAAGCAACCTCCAGCAAACCTCCACCGTAGGGAACAGGACTCTGAGACAGGACCCTCCACTGCTTCCCCTCCACCATTTTTCCCAGTACACTGAACACCGCAGTGGAAGAAGCTGTATGACGCTCTGCCTCTCCAGAAGACAATGAGAAAAGACGTAGGAATCAATTTTGCAAAACACATTTTCTTCGCTGGCCCCAGCGGCTGATCAGTGGGTCTGGTCTCCCCCTGTGCTCCTTCAGTGCAGTACAGAAGCAGGAGGAAGCAGAACTGGCCAGTTCTGGCCAACTGGCTTTGACCTGCACGGACCCCCCTCCTCACTTAAGCACAACAAGCTGAACCTTCGATCACAGCAAAATGCTTGAGTCTCCTAACGTCAAGGAAATGGTATCAACCATACCGCAAATGTTTGGGCTGGATATTCTCCAGGACAGATGCACAAACTTTTTATTTGTAGGACACATCCTGGTTTGCCACCAGTGGGGAAGTCCTACCCCTCTCTGCCCCTTAGAAAAGATCCCCATCCCAGGGCAGCTGGTGCAAGATGTTCACTCCTACCATGGAGGGGAAAGTAAAGCTCTGACCTACATCCCAGACATAGCTTCAGCCTCATTAGATGCAAAATGCTGGTGAAGAAGAACAAGACACCTCTGAGCATGAGGCAGTGAGAGCAGACCACCTGGAAAAAGGACTCTTCTCACTTGCTCTCTCTAGAGGGAGCTGGAAACCATAGCTCTCTCCAGCCCGACCTTATGTCACCCAGGGGACACACCAGGGACCTGGAGGTTCCCATCTCAGCACTGTCTCCCAAAGGGATTTCTTCTCAAGCACAGATCCTGATTTCCAGGGCAAACTTCTACAGCTACAGCACTGCAGGAAGACTTGAGTATTAACACCCGGGTGAAATAAATTAAGCAACAAAAAACCACCTTAAGATGCACACGAGAAAAAAAAGAGATGTTAAAGGGAACCACAGGCTTTTATAAAGCACTCAAAATTGTTGACAACAAGCACTGAACA